TATATCTTACCTTGATAAATGATAAAATATGTTGGAAATATCATTAATAGAAATTGATCTACTTTTTCAATTTGTTGAAACATTTGTAGATAAAAATTTGAACAAAGACAATTAATAATTGCATTCATAATCTGTTCATCTTGTATGTAGAGTTCTATTAATTTCGATAAATATTTCATAATATTATTTTCATTATGTAAATATCTTCCATGTTTTGCAATATCATTTAAACATTTTCTTAATGGTTTCACTATTTCTATTGAATGTAAATTAATTTTACAGAAAAGTTTGATTATATAACGAAATAAATAAGACGATTCAATTTGTGTGAGATAATTAATAGTATGCAATTTCTTTAATAAATCTTTTAGTATGTCGATGTATATAAAATAAATTCTATGATTAACTACTAGAGGATCAGTAAGAATTCCTCTATTCTCAATTCGATCTAAGAGATAAAGCATGTCTGTTAAATCATTTATTGTTAATAATGGTAATCGAACAAAATTATCAAATAGTTGTTTCAATTGATATGATGTGATTATTTGAATATGATTATATGTTGCTGGTAATAACGATATACCACTATTATTTGTTGCAAGTCTATCAACATTTGTTTGAATGAATCGTTGATGTTGTTGCATTGCTTACTCTACTGAAATAAATATACAATGAACAAGTACAATAGAAGAACCGATTCGTACAAAAATAATATACTTTATTTCTCATATAGAACCTTCTCTAATTGTCGGAATACAAGATAATTATAACTTACTATCAAGTATAAAGATAAAATATGTTATTTCTCCATATATTTAGCACAAACAAATGAAGAATAACATATTTACATTTTGTACTAGATATCATAATATAATTATCTTCCATTCCAACACTTTGAAGAAGTTCTTATGAGAATCAATGTATGAAGATTCGATTCTTCTGTTGTATCCCTTTACTACTGCTCATAATGAATAAACAATCATTATGTTGGGAAAAAAACGAATAGATAGACACGGTTGGATGGTTTCATAATTATCGAAGTAAGGTGTCAATATAATTGGATAGCTATATTTAATAGGTTACCGTTACTCATTTAAAATGATAAAGCAAATGAAGAACAACAACGTTTGCAAAGAGAAAAAAAAACATCAAAAATAAAGCACGGACACGGTTGTTGTATAGTTTTTGACGATACATGAAAATATTTGCTTGCGTATTGCGTTTAAAAAGTAAAACTGGAGATAACTCATATAAAACTCTTATCACAATAAGATAATATCACGAAAAGCAGTCTTAGACATAGATTGAAAGTTGAGACAATGATCGTAGAGATGATAATAACAATTAATAATCTTCAAGATGGTTTTAATTTCGTCGAGACCGGTCATTTATTTTTGTCAAGAATTAGACTATATTTTCATATTCATTTTTCTATTCTTGCCAAAGATCTGCATATCAGTCGTTTCTAGTTACTACTCTCGTGAAAGTCTTTTAAGTTTTTCAATAATATGTTTAATACGATTGACAATTTCTTTGCTCAAATGATTAGTTTTATTCATCAGCGTTCTTAATTTCTATTAGAGCAACAATACATAAGTTCGCATAATATCTAATTCAGAAATGAATCCGCCTAGAATATTACAGGACCCTTAGTTTCGTCAAAAGGTGAAAGCTTAAAAATGCGCCATGTACATGTGTGATTTTCCAGAGATCAGAGTCGAACATACATATTTTGTTTCATGAGACGAACTTCTTTACCATCCGACGATCTATTTACATTAGAAATGTAATTAAAATTGGAGGATATAATGATCGTTCGTTGAAATAACGAAGACTCGATTGTGGTGTGTAACATTGCCATTAACTACTATAGTCCAAACAACTAAAAGTACGAGTAAAAATTTGATTTTTTTTTGTATTCATTTTCATTTCATAATGATGTGTTCTTTCGATTTTCATGTACTATAGGCTGATATGGACTGGTCATATCTCTACGATTATAATGCTCTAGTAATCCTCTATCTATGGTGTATATTTTAGATTTTCATCTCTTTGTACTAGTGCACTATTGCTGTATAATTTCAGGTATAGCGATTTTCAGAGGCTATTACAAGTTTGATTTTTATTTGTACACTAAACCTTGTTAAACAGATTTCACATATGGTACGTATACACAAGACTATATACTAACATATCCATGCATAACTTTTTATATTATGCTTCCTTTCTTGTTTTATGATATAAAGAATTCACCTGTTGATAGTGGTCGTGGTGGGAAGAGACTGGTTGCTGGCAGACCTATATTACAACACCAGAAAAGACTGAAAAGTGAACAATTAACTGCAGCATCACATGCACGATGGAGTGCATACGAAGCTCGTCAACATCTACTAGGATTACGTTTTGAATTATTGAATTCAAAAAGAAGATCATATGGTCTTGAAGAAAATAAACTTGCATTATTATTTCTACTTGATTTAATGGTTGAAGAAGGGATGAATAAAACAGAAGCATGTGAACATATTGCTAAACGATTACATCGGGACCACCAATTATTATATTAGCTTATTAATCATTTTTTTGAACATAGAGAAGTCATTGATATTGATAGTGCTAATCGTGATCGTGGTTCACCTTCATATGTACACACATTTCATCATCTCTCTTCTGAGTATATCTCATCAATTGGTGTGTTTATTATAACTGCACAACAAGAAGGTGTTGGTAGTACAATAATATCTGTTGCACAACATCTAAAATCAACGTTTAATATTGATATATATCGCAGTACATTAATTTATACATTACATCGTTTAGGGTACCAATTTGGTCATGGTCATGTTATTAGTGGTAATTTATTACAAGATAAAAGACCACGTATAAGACAATTTATTATTGATTATGCTAATGTATTAAAAGCTGAAGAACATGGTAGTAGTATTATTGTTCATATGAATGAATCTTATGTTAATGCAAGATATGCATTAAATGGTACTTGGTATGATGCAAGTCAATCTATTGGTAATAAATTGATACGAGGAACCGGAAAAGAAGCTCGGTTCATTATTATACATGCTATGACTAAATATGGTTTATTACATCATACCCATGAAAAAGGTGATACTAGTGTTGAACAAACAGCTGAAATGATATGGAGAGCTGATAAAGCAAATGGTGATTATCATAAAAATATAGACAGTACCAATTTCCTTTTATAGTTGAATAATTATTTATTTCCTACATTTCAATTTCTCTTTCCTTCCAAGAAGATGATTTTAGTGTTGGATAATGGGTCTTATCATAATACATGTGAACCAGATTTTATTGATCCTCATAAAATATTAATAACATTGAAGTAGAAAGAGAAAGAAAAGTATTCATGGACAGTAGTACGTACAATAAACGTGGTGGTAGTAAAGCACCTATATCACTTGAACTACAAACTGTATTAGCAAATCATTTACAAAATATTGGTTATTGAGATAAAACTGAAGTACAAAAACAATTTGAATCTCATGGATATACACTAATATATACACCTCCATGTATGCCATAATTTCAACCAATAGAATTGATATGGACTTATGTGAAGCGTTGTGTAGCAAGTCAATTCAATCGGGATCGTTCTATGTCAGAATTATGAAAACATACACTACAAGGTTTTTATGGTGATGGTGATAAACAAATTGGTGTTACATCAGATTTCACTTTGAATATTGTTGAACATGTATATGATGTTATTAATAGATATATTAAAGAAGATGTTCAGCTTCATGAGACAATAGATAAATTAATAGTCAAACCTTCTACTGTAGTGATAAATAGTCCTGATATTATCAATGATCAGGTGAATAAACTTAGCGTTTTTATGGGTGAAATGGAGGATGATTATGAAGAAGAAGAGAAAATGGAAGATGAGTGTAGCTCGTAACACAACAAGGTCTACTCTGCTCTATAGACATAGAATTGGCATTTGTTAAGTACTTTTATGTGTATTGTACCATCTGTCTTATGTAGCGTGAACTTCATTCTGGCAGGACATATACTATCTATCTTTTTTTTGCTTCTTTCTTTTTATGCGTTTATTCTATATTGTGTTGGTTCATGCTATTAGATATTCCTAGTCATGTTCTATGTTCCTATGT